TCTGCAGTTTGCAAATTTGAATAGATATTGAGTACATCGAATTGAAGTCCAATCTTACATTAGTCTTGGAATCTCACGGTCATACACGCAATTGGTTGCTAAAGTAGAAGAATAAATTCAACCAAGTCAGAACTTCTAAGCGAATCCTTCTCCACACTATAGCTCGTATCAAGTATTTATATGAACTTTTTATGGAACTAGATGATGATTAACATAGGCAAGGTCCTAGCTAGTAATTATAGATCTCATCAAGCAATTGATGTTACGATGAAAGTCAATCAAGTAATTACCTACTTTTAAGTGTAAACACACTCCAATGTATAGAGATTAATCTTGTGTAGATTTTGTACAAAAAAACATCAAAGTATTTGAACTATTTGATATTTTTTAATAAAATATAAAAAATTGATCTAAAAAGAAATTAACCATAAATTATGTAAAAATTTATTTCACAACTTTTTAATATATTATATCTACATTTTATTCAATTTTGTTCAATTTTTTCATAGCTTTAGCCATAACAAATATTAAGCACGTCATCATATACATTGTTTATTAGAAAAAATCTGAGTACATCTTTAATTTCTAAATAACGTTAAATGGACATTAGGATGCAAAAATATACAAATGTACAATCACATTAAACCTTTGAAATAGATGTTGAATTCATTTGATTTATATTAAATATTTTTTCCTTTTCAATTTTGTGTGCAAATCTGATGTTAATAAATACTTTTATTTCTCCAAATTTTTCAAGTTGAATCAAATTGTATATGATTCTTCCTACCATTGACAAGTGATTTTTCTTTGTCAATAAATATGTCATACACATGAAGTATTAAAATGAAGCTAGAAGTCATTATTCATTCATCATGTTTATACATAAATTGAATACACTTCAATTTCATCATGCATTGCATTAAAATTAAAAAAAAATTATTCATATGATGATTTTTAAAAACTACATATTTATTTTTTCTGATTTTTCTTCTCAAAATCAAAAAGTTATCTTGTGTAAATTTTTCGTCCAATGATACTAAAAAAATGATGTGGCAACATACATTCAATTCATAATATTATTGAATACTGCAGCATTTTTGTATATTGATCAACTTCTAACACAGTTTGCTACAATTAAAAAAAAAATTCTTTGTAATGCACAATCATACAAAGACTTTACCCATCAATTTCACTTTAGAATTCGTATTTCAACTTGCTATCAATCTCAGGATATAGATTGTTTGTGATCCACTCAATTTAAAATTTTGTTATCAATAAGCAATTATATCTAACTCTTTATATAAATATTTCACTGAAGTTCATTGAGATAGGCGTGAAATTTTATATAAAATCAAAAAATCAAAGTTCAACAATCACCCATCATCATATTTGATTTTTTTATCATGAATTTTAATTATGGCTAAATTTTAATCTCAGATATATTTTATACTTGGCAAAAAATCTATTCATCAGATTTGATGATCTCCTAGAAGGACAATTCTAATTGATATTTATCTCTTGCTACATCTTGACATTGATTTAACAAAATATTGTTCCTTCAAATTTAAATATTCCAAATTCTGCTTTGAAAATAATCTGCGAGTGATAACTCATTCCAATAAGTAAAGCTTTAGGATGATAAAACCACACCAAACATGTAAAACTTCTTGTCTATTAGATTTTTTAAAAATTGTTTAAGAATAAGATTTTAAACATAAAAGTGAATTATCACAATAATTTATGATTTAGTATGATCAAAGAAATGTTATATAATTTTAACTAAATATTTAAATTATAAAATATAATCCTTCGATCATGTTGTTTTGATAGATTATGTGATTATATAAATTGGATTCAAAATCTTAATGTCAAATAGTACTTCAACCTAAAAAAAGTATTGTAAATCAAACTATGAAACCCTTGAATGATTTTCATTTCTATTTAAAATCATTTAAAAATTAATGTCATCAATTGTATAGATACATTCACTTTAATATGGTTCCATTCGTCAAAAAGTTGGTGGTTAAGCCATAGTCTAAGAATATTGTGCACATAGTACACATCATATCGCTTTAATGTGATGTTCAAATGAATGATAGACTGCATGTATTTTGGAAGAGAGAGAATTCTTGCATAAAGGATTTTGATGCATTGACTTTAAAAAAGAGACCAGCTGAGGGGATCACAATGAAACATTGTCATCAGTTGAAGTAAATGGTAAATACATCAAGCCCATGGGAGCCAAAGGGTCAAAAGGCTGAAAAGCACAATACAAAAATCCAACTTCAACCTAGGAGTGAACCAAAAGAACTCCCGAGCTAGTGACCAAAGCACTAGAACGGAAACTAATTACATCCATAATGTAACAACCTAAAGAATAAGGCTCAAGCTGAAGCAATTAATAGAAATTCTCAACAACAACTTTATGAGTCACTCTAATCTCGATATATCTTGTACAAGTAAGAAACACATGCTCTTCATCCTCAACATTTCTCCCATCACATAGCCTACAAATCCATTCATTCCTATCAATATTCAACCAACGTCTTTACTCAATTTCAAGCCTATGAGATCATGTTCTATGTCTGGCAATAATATGACGTAAAGATGTAGAGATCTGTGCAACAAGGTATACTTGCTCACAATAAATAAGCATATGATTCACATGAAGTTGATAGAACTGCATTTTGATGCTTCGTCTGCTCCAATTGATGTTGAGAAATTCTTCCTTAATACTCTTGCAAAGGGCCGTGGGTTGCAGATCCTAATGGAGTTTCGTCACATTCCACCTCAAAGACCAAGTCATCACATCTGAAAACGATACCTTGGAACGTGTGGCACGCAAAACATGAAGAGTAAGTCGAGAAGCATCAAGAGATCTCGCCCTTCTAATATAAGTGCTGGTCAAGTAGAGAGCTTCAGCCTCAAGAGGTAGAAAACCTGTTTCCGCAAGAAGAATAACATAAGGAGTTTGGTTCTTTACACCTAATTCTTATTGTAAGAAGATTTTTTGCACCCTCTCCACACGATACCAACCTGTCTTCTTATTACCTGGAGCCCACACTTGTGTCCCATATAAAACCACTAGCAACACTAACCTCCTAAATAAAAATTTACTAAGTCTCCAAGACACTAGATGAGCTCTTCTACATAGGTTTAACAATGAATAAAAAGCTTTGTAATTAGTTTTTACTCTCTTTTGCACACAAAGTGCCCACCTATAATTCTAAGAAACAATAGAAAATATCAATGATGACAGCCTGTTATGAATATGACATCAGAGTTTAGAATACAAAAGTTTGGCAAAGTAACCACCTCGGTAGTGATAGAATGGAGTCTAAACACTCAAAGCCAAACATGGCACAAAGCTTGGGAGTAGCGTGAGAGAAAATTCAGACAAGATGTGAAGGCAGTTATCTTAAGAAGTGTAATAATCACAATGCGTTACATTAAATAAAAAAATCATTTCATGTGAAGATTTTCAAAGACTGACTGCACGTCTGAGAAGTAATTGACTTCACTTTACTCTGAAGTGAAGGGTTGAAACTTTAACGATGATGTCAATGGGATTCAATATTGGATAGAGCCAGGCACGGCCCCTACACACCCCACGACAAAGTGCAAATGACTCTTCATGCTGAACGCTCACTGCCCGTATATAAAATCTTCCTGCTCCGAACGTTCCAGGACATGATATCTCCAATTTCGAGACCTCCTCAGCTTGTGAGAATTGAACTTAGGACATGAACACATCTTTCGACTCAGTGTGTCGAAAGCTGTGTCTGTGTTCATCTGGGCACGTCCCGATATCGAAGTTTACGATGGAAGAGGCGCAATGTCCAAATGTTCTATCTTACAAGGATGTTTTCAACACGGGAACACGGTACGACAAATGGACTTTTTAGCGTAGGATGTGAGATCAATCATTTCACCACTTCGGGACGATGTGCTACGACGGTGTACAATTTGGAGTTATGAATCTGGCACGGAGGCTGGGGATTCTGTGCCAAATTTCGTTCAGATTCATGTGGACTGAGATATTCTAACTCAAACGAGTTCCACGTTGGCCACGTCAAATTGCTCCAACCATGGCTTGTGTACTCAAGCCCCTCAGTGAAATACTCTCATGTCTACGAAGACTTCAAAACTTTAGTTCTCGAGCAGGCAATCGGAAGATAGTGTTTCCATGAGAGGTAAGAATCACTGCCGTCGTAAACGACACACACACGACGGGAGGTCAGGTTTGTATCCCCACAATCCGAAAAGGATAATAATGTTTCCTTTTCGTTGTTAAAGTTCTTATTGCGTGCATCGCATACGAGTCCACACATTTCATGGATGCGTATATTGAGGCTCATTTCCTGCATAGATCTGCCTAACTTAAAAGTTGAAGCCAGGACGGCATAGCGATTGGCAAGACATCCACAAGTTCGCTCACACTAAGGTCTTTCTGTAAATCATTTTGGGACGTGAGAAATTAGTCTCTTGCATGATGAAGATTGGGAGCCATGGGAAATCTGACTAACTGAACTTCGCGAAGAATTGTTTTCTTTTCATTGAAGTGGAAACAAACCAGTTACAGGAACATAACTGACGGTAAAATGTGTCTGCCAAGCACTCAGCATTCTGATGGGGTCCCATCTTTCTCATGGTCCATACTTTCAATGGTCTATGTCTCTACAATCAAGACACCCAAATACTCAGATGCCTTGTGAATTTTCAACTTCCCAACTACCTCCGGAGGACTGAATTTGACGAATAGTGCCCAGCGAAAAATCTCCATCATCCCTAAAATTGAGAATACTCTACCCCGAGAGGTAGAACGGGCCGGGTATCGCTTTTCACGTGTCCAAAGCTCAAACATGAGACTTCAAATTCAAAATGCAAAAACGATCTAACAAAAAAGTCCTTCAAAACTTTTTCAAAGTACCACATTTGATCATACAAAGATTAAATAGCAACGATCCTTTGAATAGACCACAAGCACGAAAAGCAGATGTAGAGAAGTGACGTCACGGATCACAAAAACCGGTGTACGAGCTTTATGCAATTTCTTTCAGACGTAGATACTTTACAAAGCCAATTGAAGGGTGGCAGCTTGCTTCAACTAGTAACCCAGTGAAATAACAAGTAAGGAGCTTTCTAGAGCCAACACCCTCTAAAAGAGGCATGAAGCAAACACCTCGAAGAATATCAACCCGCGTCAGTAGGAGCAAAGAATCTGAAACAGCCGCCGAACTTCGAAGGTAATCTGTACAGGAGGGGACCTAGGACGCTTACAGTTGTAGTTTCAAATCAGGTTGTTGGGATGTGGAGGGAGCAGAGCTCTGCTGAGCAGGAGAAGATTGCAACGCCGTCGGTGACTGCAAGGCCACGTTCAGGTCGGGCGGCATAGACCTTTGTTGAGCAGTGCCTTGTTGCAGCGAAGCAATGGGCCGCAAGGCCACCTGAGAATGAAGGGGAAGAGATACCAACGCTTCGCTACCACCACCAGATGATTTCAAGCTGCTGCTAGGATCAGGCTGCTGTTGCTGTTGTGCCGGCGCTTGCGCACTTGAAATCGGGGGGATTACTCCTGCGCTTTGAAGGAGGCTCATGCCGTAATCAGCGTACAATTGAGGCATCATCTGGGGCAGGTTAGAAGGCATTTTCAGGGGCGAACTCTGAGGATGGAAAACCTGCGCTGATGGAGAGATTTTTTTCTTCGATTCAGCTTGCTGCTGCTGCTGCTGAGATTGTTGATAAGCTTGATGCTGCGCTTGTTGATGAGCTTGTTGCTGCGCTTGCTGATGAGCTTGTTGGTGTGCTTGCATCTGAGCCTGCTGCTTGGCTTGTTGCTGTGCATGCATCTGCGCCTGCTGCTGAGCTTGCTGTTGCGCTTGCATCTGCGCCTGTTGTTGTGCCTGCAACTGGGCCTGTTGCGCTTGCTGCTGGGCCTGCTGCAGTTGGGCTTGTTGTTGGGCTGCTTGCAGGTGCGCCTGCTGCTTCACTTGGGCTTGCTGCTGTGCCTGCATTTGGGCCTGTTGCTGGGCTTGCATCTGAGCTTGTTGCTGAGCTTGCATTTGGGCCTGCTGCTGCGCTTGTTGCTGAGCCTGAATCTGGGCCTGCTGCTGAGCTTGCTGCTGGGCTTGGATCTGGGCCTGCTGCTGAGCTTGGATCTGGGCCTGCTGCTGAGCTTGAATTTGAGCCTGCTGCTGAGCTTGAATCTGAGCTTGTTGTTGGGCCTGCATTTGGGCCTGCTGCTGCGCTTGTTGGGCCTGCATCTGAGCCTGTTGCTGCGCTTGTTGTTGGGCTTGCATTTGGGCCTGTTGCTGGGCTTGTTGCTGAGCCTGCAACTGCGCCTGCTGCTGAGCTTGGAGTTGCGCCTGTTGCTGGGCTTGCAGTTGGGCCTGCTGTTGGGCTTGCAACTGGGCCTGCTGCTGCGCTTGTTGTTGGGCCTGCTGTTGGGCGAGGCCCATGACCCGTTCTTGAGCCCACTTTTGCACGTTGGCCTGCATGGAACCGTCCTCCCTTCCCGCTGACATGGCGAACGCGTGCTGGATCATTTGGGGAGTCCAGTCCCTAGGAAAAGGGTTTCCCCCGGCAATTAGATTCATAGCCCGAACTGTCTGCTCCTGCGTGGCCACCAAATTCGGCCACACCAACCTAACCCCACCAGCCAGCCCTTCGGCCGAACCACCGGCGCCGTCCATGCTCCGATTCTGCTTCCCTCCTACGTTCTGCGTCAACGCTGAGCTCTTGGTCTCATCCAACGGGCCAGCCCCAGCGCCACTCCCACTCGCGCTCCCGCTTCGTGCCTGCGATTCGGATTTCGCATTTGCGATTCCGCTCATATGCGCCCTTGTTAGTAAGACCTTCTCGGGGTTCATGTCAATGGTACCTAATTGCCCGGCCCCGGCCGAAGGACCAGCACCCTGCTGCTGCTGCACCGACTGGGCCATGGGCCCAGATCCCTGGCCCCCTCCAGGAGAGTAGACCGTTAAGCCGGGTTGAGAAACTCCAGATGACAAACTGCTCATCCCCCCGGGTACTGGTTTGGACCCTCCGGTTGGGTAGTTCATTACAATACCTGCAGGACGACCTGATTGTGCTGCAACTCCGGCCGGAAAGCTCGCCATAAGTACAGCTGGGCCCGGATTCCCAGGGCCAGCGGAAAAACTCATATTAGAGGCCCCAGTCGGTCCGGACTGTGAAATCCCGGAAGAGTATCCAGACATGGATCCTACTACTAGACCTGATTGTACAGCGCTTGCATTGAAGCTGGGCAAGACGCCAAGTCCCTGAACCGTTTTCGTATTGGTTGATGATTGCTGGTAGCTGGAGATGTTGCTGCCAGCTGATACCGTCTGTGACAGTGAGGGATAAATCGTTGCAGGCCCCATGCAAATGGCTTGGGCACTGCCAGAAGTGTAATTGGGGAAAGTTCCTCCCATAAGACTTGATTTGGGAGCTCCCGGAGAGAAGCTTGTCATTGAGCCCGTGCTAATCCCAGGCTGTCCGACTCCGGCAGGACTATTCGGCACTGAGCTTGCACCGCCTCCTAAGGCTTGTTGTGCACCTGCTGAAGTGTGCCCTGATTGAGTGACTACAGCACCAGAACTCAACTTTGAAGGGCCAGGCGAAAATTTGACCGGGCTGCCGGTGCTCATAGCTCCTTGTGCTATGCCAGATGGTTTGTTGAACATTGTTCCTCCTGAAGGAACAGATTGGGCTTGGACACCTCCCGACATCGGACTAGATGACGTTGGGGCATGGCCGGATTGCCCACTCACGGATGTAGGTACATTGGAGGAGCCAGGTTGATGTCCAGGGCTCGAAGAAGTTGGCAAACTCAGGGATCCTGAACCTGGTTGAGCACCACTCAGCACCTGCTGTGACACTGCGGACGAAAATGCGGGCATCGTTCCGGGACTAGTCACGACCCCTCCGTTTGAGGCACTGGAAACAGCACCGGCGTTCGCAGTCTGCGACACAGTTGACTGCTTGGGAGGTGACTTAGCCACGCTTGAAACAGATGCAGAACCAGATGGGGTTTTAGAAGACGAAATGAATGGTCTTCCTAAAGCTCCAGAAGAGTATACTTGTCCCGTTTTACCAGACGGAGGCCTGTCAACACCAGCTTGACTCGTCACTTTCAGAGGCACAGCAGATGAGTTCCCGGGAGATGCACAGGAAGCAGCAGCAGAACTGGAGCTGTGAGAAGGTGCAGCAGGTGAAACAACCAACCCTGCAGGTGCTTGAACAGTGGTCACCTGTACTGTGCTTGCGGCAATAGATCCACCTCCACTTTTGTTAGAGGGGCTAGCGTTTGCAGTACTTTTCGCTGCATGCTGTTTCTTCACTTGCAATGGTGCCTCTTGCTCTCCAACCCAACCAGGTCCGAAGGGAACACCCGGCGCAAGAACTTTTTGCAACTCACGTGCGACATAGCGCCAAGCCTTCGGCCCGAGAATTGCTCCGAATTGTGCTAAACTTTTCGCATACGAGTTTTCGACCTGAGGACCCACCTGGAAAGCGGCATAGACCACAATAAGTACCATGCTGGTTGTAACAAGAGTACATGGATCAACCCTGCCAAATAGTGCACCCCTTGTGAGATGGTGACGTCTTAGTCATAGAATGTCAGTGGTGAGTAGCAGAAGGCAGATCTACGGGGAATTTTGAGCTCAATAACGAGTTAGTCGCAATTCCTAGTGATAGGCTATCCATGACAAAGAATGTGCATTCACAATGGGGCACAATACCCGTGGACCCGCCACGCATAATAAGAAAAAAGCTTCATTGAACCAACATAAAGAATACATCAACTACAGTACTCTGGGCAGCTGCAAAGCTTACGGGCACAAGCTGACGGAGTTCTCCACCAACAGCCGCAAGAGGGGGTCCCTGGCTGTAGGCTGGAAGAAGCCTGGGCTTGTAGGTATTGCGATGATACTCATCTGTAGAAAGTGGTCTGCGTCCATCCTTGGGACCCATCGTCTTCGCAACAGCTCCTGTGAATCAACGAAAGGAAAAGCAAATTGAGGACTTGCTGTGATAATTTAACGCAACGGCAGTAATTCAGGCATTCATTCACACAAATTACGTTCAACAGCGGCTGCTAGAGGGCTATGCATCCCTGACCCTGTCCGCGATAAATCAAAGACAACAGTAATTCACTTGACCTCCTTTTCCTCTTCAGCCCCAGATCCATAGAGTCGAAAGATATACTGGCTAAGTATGATCACACACGATCGACAAAGAAATGAGGGAACTAATATGACTTGACTTTCGCGCTCCGCATCTTTCACTTCGAATTCTGCATCACTTCTGCATATTCACTCATCTTCATATCGTCTCCATCAACTTTAGAAATGGCTGCTAGTTGACAGTGAGTTACCTGATGCCTCATCTTGTCCATCGATTTTGCCTTCGCAAGCACCACCCTGCAATGCCCATTCACTTTGCGAGTCCTCGCCCATACTAACTAGCTTCTCCATCGAAGCGCCTTTCTTTGCTTTCCCAGCATCTACAGTTGAATTGGACCATCCACCACCTTCTCCATCTGCGGCCAGTGTCGCACCAGATGCGAAATCGGAACCCGCGCCGTCAAACCGCGACTTACTTGGTGTAGGCTTTTTAGAATGGGACTTTTTCGGTGGTGGTGGCTTCTTCTTGTGAGAAACGGGTTTACGAACTTCTCCAGCAAGCTGACTTCTGACGCCCTCCAGAGCTTTTTTTGCCATATCCTTAATGGTGCGTGCCTGCAATAATGTGAAACTTCGAGTAAGACCGAATCCTGACAAATCCTTCACGTCTTAACTCTCTCCAACTGTAACAAACACAAATCACCTCCAACTAAGGTTCTCTAAAGCGGGGTTAACCATGCGCATTACACTCAGAGACACGCATCGGTAAAAACCAAATATAAACCAAGCTACGTGAAAAGACAAAATACTACCTGCTTGTAGTAGATCGTGTCAGGCCCATTATAGCGCATCGCATTGCTGCAAATAAGATAAATGTCCCCCTGTGGGCAACAACATGGACATTAAAATCAGCACAGAGCCTATGCAAATAAATCCACAAAGTTTCCAGAATTTTCCAATTCCTTCTACATCATTCATAGCACTTGCGAGAAACTTCATGACACACAGCAAGATTCAGCACGCTGGTTGTTTCCGCCGACTCAAAATTGTTTGATTCGGCAAGACGCGATCAGCTCCCCCTCGATGAAGGGGCACGACGCACCAGCTTCGTGACCCCTCGTCGAGGAGGGTTGATTGCTGAAATAACATGTGTTGCAGACCCCTTATACACACCAAAGTTGCATTCACCGCTCAGCTTATGGTTTTTCTCTCCAGTTCAACGAGCAGCAACGACATACTCACTTTCCTCAACCAACAATATAGCAGTTGCATGATAATTCATGGACGACCAATCACAAGCCTCGGCACTAACAATGGAAACGAGTTCCATAGATGGACATAGAAATCACCACAAGCCAAAGCAAATTAAATCAACAAACTTTCCAGAATTTTCCAATTCCTTCTACATCAATCGTAGCACTTGCAAGACAACTCATGACACACAGCAAGATTCAGCACGCTGGTTATTTCCGCCGACTCAAATTGTTTGATTCGGCAAAAGGCCACCACACCTCCTCTACGAACGCTGATGAAATACCTTTCGTTGCAAATCCTTTATATGCACCAAACATGCATTGACTGCTAAACTTATGGGATTCTTCTCCATTTGAATGTCCCAGTGCCGAAATAGTTCATTCAAAGCATGACACGTATTGAAAATGACGTGATTCACCTCAACTACTCCACTCCCCCGGCAGATTACCTTAGGCCAACCTAAAAATACAAACCATCTGGGTTCATATTGTGTTCTACTTGAAATCGACAGCGACAAAAAGTCCTGAGAGTGCATGGCCCATAATTCGCGATAAGCACGAAAACTAGTCAGTCTGACAGTCACTAGTGTCAGAACTGACAGTGGCAATCCGTTAGAGAGGAGACAACCCTCGAGGCCTCGTCTAAGTACCTTGGATGGAACCCTATTCATCAGAGAAAATCACTTTGACAAGTCTACAGTATGAAGCAACGTCATAGAAGTTGCAATATAGTCGATAACCGAAAACGAACACAACCCTCGGCGCTCACAGTGGCAATCAGTTCAACAGGAGACAACCCCCAGGTGTCCTCTAGATAACTTGGACCTAACACTCTTGCTCAGATGAAGTGAATTGGAAGAGATTATGAACGGAAGTCATAGCTATTGCGAAGGTCAGGAAACTGATTGGCAAAACCACTTTCAGGCCTCCTCTACACAACTTGAAGGTAACACTCTTGCTCACATGAAATCACTTCAACAAGTCATCATTAGGAACCAAAATCATAACGGTTGCAAGAAACTTTATGGTAAGATAGCTGTTCTCTACATCACTTGGAGTTAACACTCTTGCTCACATGAAATCAATTAAACAAGTCATCATTAGGAACCAAAATCATAGCGGTTGCAAGATACTTTATGGTAAGAAAGCTGTTCTCTAAATCACTTGGAGAGAACACTCTTGCTCACATGAAATCAATTAAACAAGTCGGATAGGAAACAAAATCAAAGCGGTTGCAAGACACTCGATGACACACGGTAAGACAACACTCTTGCTCACATGAAATCAATTAAGCAAGTCGGATAGGAAACAAGATCAAAGCGGTTTTATGACACACGGTAAGACAGCTGTTCGGCAAAATTCAACCACCTCTCCCTCAACGACTGCTTCGTGGCACGTCGTTGAAGGAGAGGATGGCTGATGAAATACCTTCTATTGCAAATCCCTTGTATGCACCAAACATGCATTAACCGCTGAGCTAATAGGGTTTTTCTCCATTTGAAAGAGACAGCAACAAAACAGTCACTATGATGAACCAAGAATAGAGAAGATGCAAGACAATTGATGGACGAAACCGAACAACCACGAGTCTCGGCGCTGACAGAGTCAACCAGTTCGATACAAGACAGCCCTCGAGGCGTCCTCTACATAACTTGGAGTTAAGACACCTCCTCAGATGAAATCACTCGAAGAAGTCGATATTACTCATGAGCAACCGACATCAACGTGTACATACTATATTCATCAAAATCAAGAGGCGCTTTATGAACCGCGTGGACCAACCTCAAAAGACTCCATGGTCGAGTAAGCGTTCTTGTTGATTTTCTTCCTCATTGTTCCAAAATCCATCGGATCTTTGATAACGTCATAATAATCCGGAACCTGAAAGAACCAGCGGCAAAAAAATGGTCAGGACTGAAAGAGGGTGCGGCCGACTCTGCTGTCCGGACCTCCACAAAGTCCATCAATTTACGATTGAGACTGTAGATCATATGATATGAGTTTCCCAAGAGTCGAAAAAACTTAAAAACGTGCATTCAGAACAAGCTACTGCACCCATGACTTCGTTTCTAAAGCATCAGATTGCGGATTACCTGAGCCGCATCCACAGGTTCTGCGAAAACTCCATAGGTGTCTTTCCTGGGGGGGGCAGAGAGAACACAACCAGAAATCAGCATGAGCATGCAGCACATCATGCACATCGTACTTACGAGAGAGGAGAAAGAAAACAACCAACACTACGGACACATGGTCTTCACGTCTCCACTATATGCTCCATGCATGTGTGAAATTTAAAGAGAAGCATTAAAAAGCTCCACGCAGTACAAGCGGCAAGCATACAGAAGTGAAATGATGTGACCAGATGATAGTTATCACTTGTATCCTACACGCTCAATATCCTACACAGACGACATCCGCATTCAAATGTGATAGCCAGGGAAATACTTTTGCAGCTTGTCAAGGACACCTTCTAGCAGGGGTTTGGAGATCGGTTGCAGCGGTAGCTGCGTCTGTTGTGGTGGGCCTGCGCAGCCGTTCGTAACCAGTAAACTTGATCAGCGTTAACCACTCAACAAAATTTTAGAACAGAGAAGTAGGAGCTCACTCACTGAAACTCAAGTAGAGCCAACAAAGAGAGCTGGCATGTCATCCTACCTTGAGAGACACTAGGCCCGACCCCAGGCGCAGGCACTTCGGGTTTAGGTTCCGGCTTAACCTGTTTCTGCAACAAAGAGACAATGACACTAGGAATGACTAACAGTGCAGATTATATCCACTGACGACCAGTACATTTACAACTAAGGCGATGATTCCACACCAGCAGGAAGAAAAGGCTGTGACAGAGAGTAGTCTGAAGGCCAAAAATTATCTTTCGTACCAGAGCCCTTAATATAGAAAAAGCGGTATCAAGCGGAGATAACTTAGGCCTTCGTGTAGGAGCGCGGAAGCTTCTCAGGCGCTTACAGGTAAGAGTAGGAGCATGATTTTTCGACATTTCGGTGTGGGAAAATTTGCTTTTGGTGTGGTGGATGATTCTTCTTCAGTGGTGTACACAGGGGATAAAACATGACATCGGCAGAGAGATACTTTATAGAAATCAGGCACCATCACTCGCTTCACGTTTCTCATTCTGTCCTTCCGAGATGTCGGGATTGTGTATCCTGGACTTGTCTCGGTTCTCTGGTAGGATAAAGGGTGAGAAGTAGAACACAGGCCGCATGGCGCAGGTAGGGTTTCGTGCAGCTAACCTGCAGGTACAGCAAAATTCCTTACAGCAGTCACATTCCGACACTCACTTCCAGCATTTTATTCATGGAACATGGCGACCTACCAATCTACCGTCCGTCACGCCTGTCGCGTGTAGAGAATGGGTACAACTTCAGGGACAGCGACCTTCACAGGCTAGGAAAAACGGTGTGGTCCAACAAGTCACATCATGCAAGCAGCGTGGGTGACTTTGCGGCTTCTGACATACAACTTTCAGAGCCTTGTCAGAAGCGGCAGGAACGGCTGACAGCGATGGGTTTTACGACGAAGAAATAGAAGGTGAAGAAGAGCAACGGCGAAAAAAAAGCTGGTGGCACCAAAGTGTCCATAAAACCTCGCAATTCGTTCGAGAGTCGGAAAAGCTCTAGGCGTAAAATCCACGCTCACTCACCTTGTGCGACTTCTTGGCCGGTGGTGGTAATGGAGCAGCCGGGGACGCGCGCGCTGCGGCCCCCGACGAGGCCGCCGCAGCAAAACTGATTGCGCCATCCCTGACACCGGCTAGATTCTCGTCGGCGCTGGGAGCCCCCACGACCAGCGCCCCGACGCCTAGCGCCCCGCTCTGCTCGACGACCTTGAACTTCCTCTTCTTAAGAGGCGTGTGCTGTTGAGTGTTAGAGGCATTGGACGCACTGCCGGCGGCCGATGTCGTTGTCGATGCCGCAACCGATCCGGATGCTGCCACAGAGGCCGATGCCGATGCCGATCTGAGGTGAGAAGCGGACTGAGCCTGCAGCGCCGAGGATGATGCGCCAGCATGATGAGATGACACATTTTTGCGGTGATCTTGTGAAGGCGAGAATTGTGATGAAGGGAATGAAAAAGCAGAGGCGGACGAATTTGGTGCTGCCTGCGCTACCACTGGTAAAGGTGCTGTTGCTGGAGATTTCAGATGTGTCTTGGGAAGCTTGAGAATGACCTTCAGTTTCTTCTTGTCCTTGTCCGCCATGGCCCATGCCTCTCCCCCTTCCCCTCTTCCCTCGCAGCCAGCCAGCTCCCTGCCTGCCCTCCCAAGCCCTCCCTTCCGTTCCCCCCCTGTCTGCCCCTCCCTCCGTCCTCCTCGATCCGCTACTGTATCCGCCCGCCTAACCTAACCCGAGCCTGAAGCGGCGCGGCCCCACCGAACCTCTCCGGCGGCCACTTGGCAGCCGCCCATTCGCCCTCTCCGGCCAGCTTACCGCACCCGACCACGAGCGCCTTTACGTCTCACCGGCCCCCGATGTACGGCGGCCAGTCGCCGCCCCGCCGTCCGATCACCCATCGGCAGGCCCACAGCCAGCACTTTCCGCCCGGATCTCCGAGTCCCGGCGCCCGGCGCCCGGAGGTCCCCGCACGGCTCTCATCTCGTTGCTTCGAGGAAAGACGGCGACGAGCGACGCGAGCACACATTCAAACGCACGAACGCTCGCTCGATCTGCGCCAATCCGGGTCCGGAACCATTCCCGAGGCCCGCGCCTCGGGTGTCAGGCTCGGCAGGCCCGGCAATCGCTGGCTCTCCACTATCCTTGGTCAAGCTGTGAGTTCGGCGTAAAAGCGGTCGTCGCAAGCTCTGAGCCAAGGCAAGGCTCGCAGAGACAAGGACAGGGGCCGCAAAGGCAAAGCAAGCGAGAGGCAGACAGGCCGTGGGCGAGCGAGCGGGCTCCGTCCTCCTGCTCATGGCCGCGGTTACTGCCGGTTCTTATATAATGCTTTCTTTTTCACCACCACGGGCCTCGGCCTTGGATTGTCCATACGGTAATGTCAGTCGGGCCAAATATTTATCAAATGATGCAAAAGTGACATTTGAATGGCAGCGTACAGCCAATCACGCCATCCATGGCATGAGCATGATGCATCCATCATCGGGCAGCCAGGCGGCGGCCCGACGGGCGGGCATGTGGCGCAGACCGTCCCCGCGGGCCGACCGGCCCCTTGGTCAAGCGCTCGCTGCTGTTGAAGCTATTGCTGCCGCTGCAGCGAGTGAATTCGACCGTAGTGTTGTTACTGCAATTACTTCCCCGTCGTGCCCCCGGCTTTGCCCCGACCGAGAAGGAGAAATTTCTGCTCGCGCGTGCCCGGCCCGATCTAGAGGTGTCGGCGATCGATTCTCGGGGCGGGTCCTCGCTGTGGCTTTGAATCGTTGACCGGACCGATGATTCCCACTTCCTTTTCAATGGCTGGCCTGGCCTGACTGCCTGCCTGCCTGCCTGCCTTGACAAGCGAGATGGGACGTGCTGCATTGATACCGTGGGATGCTACCCCGATTGATGATGGCGATGATGGTGTAGACCGATGCGTAGCTTCCCCTGCTTGGCTCTGCTCGTCTTATCTCTGACCCGGGGCCCGGAGGAATCTCCTGGTGGCGATGGACACTTTCTGACGAATGGGGACTCTTTCGAGAGGGATTTCATCGAGATGCTGCGTTTCTGAGTCGTGCCACGATCGCTGGATTTGGAATTCGAGCATGATTGGGAAACTTTGTCGATGGATTTGGGAGGGAAATTGTGGTTTTGAATCGGAAGCCGCTGCTTTGGAGATGCTTCGTTCGGGGGGTTGACGGACGATCTCGGAATGATTCGAGGCTTTTCTGAGAAATTTCATCGATGATTTGGTCGTGTGGGATCTGAAGTTGAGTTTTGTGGGTGGAAAGATCGATCAGGTCCCTAGGAAAAGAATCATTTGCTGCTGTACTTCTTTCGATGTGGTCAGGTTTGGTCGGAGACGATCAATTTCAGTGATTGGATTCGCCGAGCAGACGTCTCAATTACCTTCAGTAACTGGCTACTTCGAGGATGAGAGTTGCAGACATGGGAATTCAGTTTATCGCAGTAGGGTCACAATCGCCGACTATGTTTCAGCTCAATGTTGTAGATTTTGGCCGGTGATGCCACTTTGTTCGAGAACGAACGAACTGAATTGTTCTATCACTACTGCATAGCGGAGTTTTTATAATATTTGGATTCAAAGCTTCACGAGGTAACGGGTGATTTTGCCTGCTCAAGTGCTTCTGACGCGAATCGATTATAAGTCTGTGGTCATAGCACTGATCAAAATTCCCATTACACGCAGAAAGTGTCAGAAATAATGACAATATGGGATGACTCGGCTGTGAGTGAGCTGGACTCGGCTCGTACTAATGGTCGTTAAGCATGTGCAACACTTGATTGGACAGGAAGCCGCAATTGGGACAATTGGAAGGACACTTTTCGAAAGAGAAACCTACTTGGAAGGAGTGTACTGTTCATGCTCCGGCTGTCATAACGGTGGGCATCAAATCTTATCGACGAGCGAAATTGAGAATCAAACACCATTGTTCATCTCTTGCTCGTTAACCGTATCCGATGAAGGTCATATTACGGCGGTAGAGAAGTCAATGCAATCCGAAGAAGGCGATGCAGGTTGGAGAAGAGATCTCGGAACGATGTTTGATTTCAGTTTTGAATTCGGAATCGAGTGGTCCGTTCGGGTTTAGATCAAAGCCTGCACTCTTCCACATAAATGCGTATTTTCGTGGGTTTAAATTAGACGATACTGATAGAAGCCTAAATTTGGATGGAGCTCATCTTGATTCTCGGCAGCGATTAAGAAAGTTTGTTTTAAGTGAACGAAGCTTCCGGCAGTGTCGGAAGACTCATTGACATTCGACACCGGTCAGGTGAGAACGAATCTGGAGGGCTGGCTCAAAGCATTACCGCGATGTAATGCTTTGAGCAGCTGCGCAGGAGGATATAGCTTTCAGCTCCTACAAGCCTTCTGTAGCAACAGGGCTCGCTCGTACAAGTAGCTGAGAAGAAGGACACGGAGTTCATCTCGAGGACAAGCTAGAGTTGTAACTTAGGAAGAATTTCGTGAAGCACCTCTGAGCAGCAGAACGAGGAGAATGAGAAGTTTCTCCACCTGCGAACTGCAGTACCACGTATTGCACACTGACTGTTTACAACGTTGAAGAGAGAATCAGGTAGTGTCAAACATCATTTTTAGAATGGGCGACTTGCAAAGACCTCGTTTGAAACAATGTCGATTTACATCGAGGCAAGGACTGAAGAACAGAGCAGAGGACACAGATATCTCAAGATGTTGCGGAGGTTGGAGACAGACAACTCAAATATCCCATACGCTGAAAGTAATCACCCACAAACGCTCTGAAAGTAAATCGGAACAAATATCACGATCACGAATTGTGTGAAAATTGGCCACCACCTGAAAGCATCTTGAACAGCCGCATCTTGCTAGTGCAATTCCCAACTGCTGCAGAACCTTGAGCCGACTCTGGTCTGGACAGATAAACCTCATGCACAAACAAACAACAGCACACACTGTACGTACATCTGTAATCAATGCAAGGATGGCTCGAAAACTGTGTGTCCGGTCGATGACTATGACGGCCCGTGGGCTTAAGGATGACACGCACAAATCGAGAAATTAACCTTCCGAGTACGAACAGCATGCGCGATTCTGGCGATCATTGCGGTGCCTATATGGTCAATGGCGGTCACCGTGACGTGAAGTATGACTTGGTCCAACTAGAGCCGTGTCTTGGAACGGAGGGAGAACCTCACCAAAGCTGACCGACCGAGGAGTGTAGAAGTCGTTTACAGGTCCACGAGGTTTGAACCCTAGGGACACAAGGATTGGCAGAAGAAACCCAGAACATTAACAGGTCAGGACACCTGATCAAGTAATCAAGACTCGCAATGCACTCATCACCTACCTGACCGAGAAACGCAGAATCATGACGAAAGGAATGTTGTTAAAGAACTAAAATTCACGACGCGACGACTCCTGTTTGATAAGTACCGCAAAATTTGGACGATTCTCGACGCCGTCGCATCCTCAATTTCGAAATAGTTGGGTTTCGTAAAAAATGTAATTACAAGAGTGATTTAATCTAAGAACCCAGCATCGAGCATAGTAGCCAGTTCCCATGGAGGAAAAATTTTGACTTCTAGCTTCTTGTCCTCTCTACGGAATTCAGCATCCACTGTACAAGTGTGAGCCCACCCGTCAAGGGTGAGCAGAGAAAGCTAAGAACTAATGTAAAAGGAAATATGCGTACGCATTCCTCTTCTATTTTAAAAATGGACTCTAATATCGGAGCAGGGGCACTTTAGAATCCGCAGAAATACTACTCTGGATAATCGATATTCAAATTGATTGTGGATATTTTAATTTCATCACGAGGATCAGTCTAGCAATTTGAAATGTAGGCCTTTGCCGCGTCTTTTGGGATAGCGATCGGTCTCTTCGGGCACTGCGTCACCTTCGATGGATGAGTAGGGACTCAAACTTCTCATGAGATCTGAGCGAAGGACAGCCTGGACTGATGGTGGTTGTTGAATCCAACTCTGCCCGTCCAAAAAAGACATGATATCTCGATACATATTAGCTTCCACCTCCGTTTCTCCAATCTGGTGTGACCAAACGATTCGCGACTGAGGGTTTGCTCCAGGTCCCCGGCTGTTGCTCTCTGCAAAGTAGACATTATCGTGTGGGAACATCGGCGAGGTCCCTTCGAGCCAATCTTCCCATCCCTGAGAAACAACGTGAGAGTCCATCCAAGTATCGATGTACAAAACCTTCGCATACTCTCTCCAAGGACGCCCAAGGTACGTAGGCCCGTACCCTGTCAGAGTGCAGTTAAGGAAGACAAAGGCGGATTGAGCAGCTGTACACTCCGCATCACACCACCGACTTTGCGCGGTGATGAACCCTCCCGATCTTGAGTAGATGGTGCAGTTGTCGAAGACCGCGCGAGCATAGCCCAGTATGTAATCCACACTGCCCTCCACTCGGCAGTCTTTGTAGTACTGCCGACCCTGGTCCGCAAACAGCGTGTCTTGCCACCCCAGAAACGAACATCTGCTCAGGCAGCAGACAGAATCAGAAAATCGGGAATTGGAATCTCCAATTGGATGCAACGGAGTGAAAGTGCAACCTCTTCAGATAGTGGATAAATTTTAAGACCAACATTCCAAAACTAGACTCTGGAAAGGAAAGGCAATGTACACGCAGTTTGTGTTTCCTATTAGACTTTCGCCGATCAGTATGGGTGACGATTAACTACACAAAAGTTGCTACTGCCCTGTAGTGGAGGATAGACCTGCACCAGGTCCGTCTTTGCGGTCGAGCTGGTTATGATTTCGAGAATTCACAAAAATCTTACCCGTAAAATGAGGAATTGTCTCCAGAGACTCGGATTGCTGGTGCTTGAGCGTTATAGTCGAGTTCGGCAGGTTTCGGAGAGGTGTTCTCGAAGGCGATATTTTTGGCGACGAAGAAAGAAGCCTCGATAATGACACAGGGGCTGTCCAGAATGCCCATGGGAGTATCTTTTGCACTCCTCTGACAGGACAAAGTGGTAGTCGCAGGATCCTCGCCAAGAAGTGTTATGTGATTCTTGCCTTGTGGAACTATGACAGTGCCATAGTATATGCCGGGTTTGATCAAGATTATCCAGTTGACATAATTCCACATGGGGACTGCATCCACTGCAGCCTGCACCGTAGAAAAATGATTTGGATATCCATCGGTAGAGACAACTAAAATAGTTTGTACGCCATCAAGAATCTCCCTGCCATTACTGCGGACCATCTCCTCCTCACCCAGGACGCCGACGACTTCGTGCTTTGCTTGAGTCCGCTGCTTCGAGAACTCCAGGAAAGGTTTCGTCGCTCTTGGGAGCTTCGTCTCGGAACCATGGTCACGAATCGGTCTAAAGTTTCCAACTGTGGATGTGCTCGCCAATTTTTTGAAGTCAGGGGAATCCGTGCCGGCCGCGAAGGTGACTGAGAATTGTGCAGCGAAAACGAGTAGACTCAGAAAGAGTGAGCAACAAAGGAGACCGATGGAGCGAGCTGAGAGCAGATGCGTGAGCTTCGTGCCGTAAGATGAATCTTTCCAGTGAGGAGTTATCCTCGGCATGTTGGCCATCCAGGAAACTCTATGACTAGTACTCTCGCCTTAAGAATCTATCCCGGTAAGCAATTGGATCACAGCAGGGAAGGTGAAGACCCGGAATCATCAATGTATTATTGTTCTTCAAGTCGAGTTGCGAGGTCCAAGAAGCGATGATGCTGCGAGGAACTGGATTGCCAGCTTGCTTGGACAAGAGTGCGTGATTGTCTGCAGGGAAGGAGACTTCGCTCAAAGCACGAACCCCCGACAGCTGACAGCCCAAAGTCCGCGATCATATAGAATCGGTCCAGATTCCAACAAAATCGGACGCAGCGAGCAAACTTCCACTCGAAAACTCGTCTTCTGACAAGGTATTGTACTTTAACAAGTGGGAGGGACAGAATTGAATTCAGGCATGGATATATCTAAGACTAAGAAAAGTACCTACTCAGGGAAAGATAGGGAGCTCGAGGACGTGTTGAATGTGCTGGCCTTCAGAATCGCGAAGGCTCAATGGCCTGATGCCACAGTTGCACGAATTCAAATCTACCACTATCTGAGTACCGACCACTAAAGATGAATTGCAGTCCACTCCAAATATATCGACGGGTCAACTCGCTAAAGACAACATGGAGCATGTCCGGAATGGTCTGACGCGATGTATGCCGAAGTATTAGATTCTGCTTTTGTCGATCTGGTGTACAATGAGTGAGTGGACGGCCTGCGCGGTCTGACAACGACAATTCGAACGCGAGATGAAAGTAGAGAGAAATTGCACAGCAATGACCTCCGAAGAGCACAATTGGACCTCCCCAGAAGAGCGAGAGAGCACCGATGGATGGACGGACGAGTGGGGCTAAATTAGAAATGTCAAGCGCTGTGCAACCGACTATTCAACGTGAGCTTTTTACAATCAAGGAAAAATTTACAGCGACTTTATACTCTACGGGACAAGACTAGACTCCCGGATCACTGACACGGCGCGTCGACATAACGAACAGGTGGCAGGACACGAAGGAGCCAACGTTTGTCGCTGCGAGGCTCCCTTTGCATTTCGCCGAAGCTGCAACGGGAAGAGGACCGTGTTCCGGCTGGAGTTCGCTTCAAGTTTCGAATCTGGCGATCGTAAGGTTCCGAAATCTCAAGAAGCTCGTATCGAGAACGATCGATTGTGGCAGTTGGACGGTGCCAACTTGCCGAGGAATTTTCACGGTAACCGAGCTGGCTGACTCGCTTGCTCGAGATGCATGGCAGGTGAAGAGCACAGAGATCATCCATCGGCAACGACGCGCGTGGACATGTCGGCTCGGCTTCGCGTTCCTCCTCTCGCTCGCTGCTGGGCGTCGTCATTGCTCATCGGCCCTCGCATTCCAAGATTGCTGCCGTGCCTCCCCCGCTCGACTCGAACATTGGAAGCACCGACGGGCGTTCAAACTTCGAACAGTCGAGACACGTGAAGCCGGCGAATCATTTGTACAAATCCGGTGAGAACGACCGACCGACCGACCGTCCTGCTCTTCACATTCCGTTTGTACGGCCATCCGTTCTAAATAATTCAACGTCCCCTTATAGTTGATCTTGCCCGAACCTGAAAGACCGATCCAGCGAATCGATCGGGGTTTCATCGTCTCCAAGTCAAGCTGTCCGTTACGATGGATTTGAGATGCTAGTCAAAGCCGAAGAGCCTCTTTGCTCGCCCGTGAAAGCACGCAATGCCCCATCCATTGTCTCTTACCTGTTTCAGCAACTGATCGGAGGATTGTTCTTGCACGTGTCCAGCCTTTATTGGATGTCGCCCTCACCGAGCTTAGTCTTATTGGAATGCACATCATCGAGGATAACAGGCCTGCTCCCTTCTTGGTTTCGGGATCAAAACCACAGATGCATCTATATCCTGCAGACTTACACCCCCGCATGAATCCCCTTGTGGTGCTACCTCATAATCCGATTATCGTCGAATGTCTTACTCCATGTAGAGTCAAGGCCATTTCCCTTGATGTTTGGAATTCCTATGCTTGCGTTGTTTCGTCTTTGGTGCCTTAGAATAGCTCGTCTTGCTTCCCGGCTATTTGCTTCCCGCTCAGTTCTAGGGGACGTTCAAATTGAACCTACGTTGCGATTCAAATTTTGGCTCTTGTATGAACCACGCAGTACTTCTTTCAAACCCCGACGACGACAAAGTTGCAAATGCGCACTCTTGCTTTGCGTGCATGTCAACAGTTTAAAGTAATTCAATTTTTTCATAAAGCAGAAATAGTTTCCAGGAACATTTTAAATGCATGTCAACAATTTCTGAAATTCAAAGAATTCATATAACAGAATTATTTTTTCCTAAACTCATCTACAACAACTTGAAAAGTTCTCTGTCCCATAATGCTAATGTTCATATTATCAAAAGCGTTCTCAACTTCTGAGTAGATACTTTGGAATACAATATGGAATCTAGTTTCTTTTCCACATGGTGATAGACATAGCCAAGCATGGTTGTATTAGTCGGCCGTATCTATAGAGTCAACTAAATTACCTAAACTGTCTGGTGATTCTACGCCTAAATTAAGGTGGGTATGACATGTTGCAACTAATGGGGAGTGGACACTGATGGATTTTTCAATTTAATTAAATTAAAATTTCCTAAATTAATTCAATTTTTTAAAAATAAAAATATAGAAATTAAATATTTTTGGGAATTTAAGTAGACTAAATAAGTCTATATTATATTTTTAGAGTCTAAATTGCTCTAAATTAACTTTTTAGTGTACTAAATTAGCCTAATTTAACGTTCTGATAAGACTTAATTAACCAAAATTAAAATTATTTAGGAGACTAAATTAATAGTATCGAGGTAGTTTAGGTAATTGACTATTATAACCATGCCTGCACATAGCATATGAGACAATGAGAAAGTAAACCTTTGGCGGTTAAGGCATGAAATAAGAAATAAAACTTTATACTCAAAATTGTAAACTCTAAATAATTTAATAATCCAATTTCCTGAAAAAGCCTTATTACCCATCATAGCATACATAGACTTAGTACTAATATATCCTCTTTTCTAAACTATAATGGATCATTTCCAGTTAATCGAAGTAAAAAATGTAAGTAAAAATTTACAAGTGTTACTATTCTATCCATGATAGATTCTTAGTACTTAAAATATAAATGAAGTATTTTATAGATCTGTTTTTCAATCCTTATGTTAAATTACAAGATTTTTAATATTCTAATTATATAACACAAAAGATACTTAAGAATTTTGCATCGCTTTTTGAACTCTTCAAATTTGTCCTCATTTTTGAGTATAACATAGAAGTTTAAACATTAATAAAATTCCAAGAAATCAAAATCCTCTGAATATCATAATTCATTAGTTACACCTAATTATACAAAATAAACTCACATGTTATCAAAACCAGACAAATTTATCCAACAATCATCATTTCAAATGTTGTACAAATAGTTCAAATATGATCCAGAAAAAAAATTTCAATATTTTTTATATCATAAATTTTAAAATCCAAATTTATTTTAATTAAACTATATTGATTGATTTAGATTATGTCTACTATCCCAATCAATTTTCATATATGAGAAAAAGATAAAACTAAGTGCAGAAATCATAGATTAATTGGCTATGAAAAAATGAAAACAAAATGCAAATTGATTAACATATGATAAACAAGGTAAAGGACCTAGTTCATTCCGTATATAAACATAAGCCAATTTTTTTTAATACAAGGATAATAAATAAATTTATCATAAATGTATATCTATGACTTCAATTCCGAGAACAATATATGTTTACAAAAATTTAAACAAACATACTGGGTTACAACAAAGTCTTCTTGAAACAATTAAACTAATTTAAAATATTTTCATAATAAAAATATCAATTCACCAAAAATTTGATAATAATCAAAATAATAATTTATGAAAAATATACACTGTAACTTATAAAAATTTCCTTTCTTTATTTACAATATGTCTAACCAAAAATTTCATTTCATGAAGTGTGTTTTGTTAAATTACAATTTTATATCCATTAACAATATTTTATTTTTTGATAGATATTTTCAAAATTCCTTTCATTTGATCATTTTTTACCCTCTCATGATCTTACGCAGGAACACTGGGATTGGAGTTGACCGTCTCTAATCTAATTTGTGTTTGTTATCCATGAGACTCTTTAAACTAAAGAAAAAACGTAAAAAACTAGTACTAAAACCATCAAGACTGTAAAGCCCACATGTAGCGTGCAAGAGGTGTGATTTACGTACACACGGGAATAGCATCATGATAGTATACTTTGCTCACTGTCTGGTAATACACAAACCTTGGGTATATGTCTCCAACACCGACAACCAATCTCAGCTATAAATAGCCAAACGTGAGGTTATTTCTTAACTAGAGTTAACAATAACAATCTCTCCTTTAACTCGTGTTAAAAAATCTCAATAACCTCTCTAACCTACATTATTACTCCACAAACAGTTCGAAACAAAAACTTAACACAAGGTATCTCTTTAAACGAGAATTAACTAGAACTAAGCCGTACCCATAACATGATAATTTGATAAAATACAGAGATAACTCAACAATCTTCACCTTAACTCGAGTTAAGGAATTTAAGTTAACTCTTTAACCTATATTACTACTCCCATAACAAAATAGAGTAATAATATACACAAGTAACTCAACAATCTCCCCCTTAACTCGTGTTAAGTAATTTCACTCAACTCTCTAATCTATATTATTACTCTGCGGAAAGTTGTTGACGGAAACCTAACACAAGAACACTCTTTAAACAAGAGTTAATTGGAACTAAGTTGTTGCCATAACATGATAGAATAATAATATACAGAGATAAGTCAACAATCTCCCAGTGCTCTCCATGTAAAACCTTCTTGATCATTAATTGCATAACAATCAAACTCCCCCACAACCATTTCCGTGAACAGAGATTTTTTCTTGTCATGACGAAAAGCTTGAGAACTTTCCCACTATTTCAATGATCTATGCCGCATTGAAAGAAACATTTTAAACAAGAAAATTTTATAGCTTTTCAAAGTCCATAACTTACTTTTGCCAAAGTAGAGAATCTAGTACTCATGGATTCAGATTCTCCGACATGTGTATTGTCATTTCGATCACTATTCGTTGGCATCAAATTAATGCCCCTTCTTTACATGCCGACAGTTAGGACATTACATTGTCTCCTTGGCCATAAAAGCTGAAGCAATACAATCAAAATAAAACCAGTGTCCATATACGAGTTTTGTAATTGATCTATCTCCGCCGTGGACGAAGACAACATCCATGCATATACTACATGTCAATGTTTCAACTTCTTGAGATGTTCTTGCATCTTTCTGCTTCAGCGTTGTGAGCATATCTAACCAAGGTGGTACTTGTGCATTTTTGTGAAAAAAGTCTTGAATAACATTTTTCACCACATTCTCATACCCGGGTATATTCAAATCTAGACCGCTATCATTCGCAGCCAATAACAAAACTTTTTGTCTGTTAATGATATTCAAATCCGCATGCTTATATATCATCGAACGGAATCTATTAGTAGCTACTCACTTCGACTGTACATGACTTTGAAATCCAAATGACATCACATAATTCGAAAGAAAGAGATTCGGTATTGTCAGATCACCACATGTCGTCCGTGACTATCGGTGGCAACGAATTGTTGTCCATAATCAAAATCGCCAGCAACCACGTTGCCCGATATAAATGTCGCTCGCTACTATCCTCCGTTACCCGCAACCATCTTTGATCGTGACAAACGTCATCCGCAACTGCACCGTCCGTCACCTGTGACTTTTGTCGTCCGTGACCACCGTCACCTACGACTACCATATCCGTCGTCTGCGATTGCAATTCTTTTGGTCAATTCTGGTTGGCCCGCCTACCACGGTGCAAACAATTTACCGCGGTTGCTTCAATTCATGCGATTGCGTTTAGACCGACCGTGGTTATTCTAGCCAAATGAGATTGCCACATGTTATGCATTTTGTCTTGTCTCACCACAATTGTTTGGTCTACGCGGCTGGTCCAGCCTTGCACACAAGCGCTTGCGTCTTCGGCGATCAGCTGCTGGGGCTGATCTCTCTAACTTTTGATCTTTTGGAATGGAGAGGAAATTTGGGCTTCTGCTGTCACTTTCTCATGCTAACACAAAATTAGTAAAAAGATAACTTGGAGTATACTCCATCCGTTGAATCACCATGTTGAAACGTAAGAATTCACGATGTGCAATTGAAATCTATTCCAAATTTCAGCTTGATAGACCAACCTCTGTAGCCAAAGTGGCTGAGTGTCCACCTCAAACGAATATCACACAAGCTGTTGCATGCTCGAAACCGCCAGCATAAATCAAGTTCATAACACTCTTCATCGGCACGCCAATTGCATTCCAACTGTAAGCTCGCTGTACTTACTCCAATCAAGTCGTCGATTCTACAAGAGCTCTCTATCTCTCGATTCGGGTCCACAGAGGCGACATAAATCATCTAACATACAGATCGACAGTGAAACAAATCCCAAAGCCACCAAGGCCCAAACTTCCAACTATCAACCGCATACTCCAACTCAGAGCTCAAATGATCAAAACATGTGTGGCCTTGCCTCGGACTTGTGCATCGCGCGTTTCAAGCACTTGCCTTCACCGATGTTTGTTGAAATAGATAAAGAATTCAATCAAACGGACCCATTCG